AAACACTTGAAATTTTAAAATCTCAATGTCTAACCACTATTCTTCTCTAAAAGAAATCAAGGTTTCCTGGGTAAGTCCCTGATTCCAGGACTGGAGTGGGGAAAGTTCAAGATAAGCCTGGAACATCTTATAACCACAAAGTAAGAAGTACTCTAAAAATGATGGATATATGTCAGAAGGACAAAGCAATACAAACTGATCCATAATGACAAAAAGCAGCCTATGATCATCAGCTGGGACCAGAAACAGAAATAGGGATGGACTGCAAAGGGGCATGAGGAATATTTTGAGGGTGATGGAAATGTTCTGTACATTTATTGTGGTAGTGATTTTCATGAATGTATACATCTGTCAAACTCATCAAACTGTATATTTTAAATAAATAAGCACAATTTACTTTATGTAAATTATAATTCCAATAAAGTAATTTTTTTCTGAAAAATGTCACAGAAACTCTGACTTAAGAGAGCTCTGACTAGCCAAATCTGGCAATACCAAAATAAATAATAATGACAATAACAGATTAATACCTAGTGAATAAAAAAAACTCACTAGTAAATCCACACTGGTAATAAACAAACTGGGGAGAAAGAAAAGTTCTTTAGAGAAAAATGTTAAGAACTAAACAGAGATGGAATGATGAAGTAACAAAATCATCAATTTTGTAACTCTCATAATAACTGATTCAGGCAAAATTTATCCATGGATGTTTAAATTGTTGGGTGAAAATCTGGTAAGAAATAGGATTATTTGCATAGTCTCAAAGTATCTCCCCACAAGACATTTACCAATTATAAGGAAAAAAACAGTAAACTCACAGCTTTAACCAACTAATCAAATTTAACATCGCCAATAATAAACACATGGACAAAATGTGCATCCTGATAAAAATGCAGGGAAACATCACCATTCTGTAGTCCTGTTAGTAAAATATAACCTGAAACTAAGCATGAAAAATCCAAATTGGGATCGATTATACCAAATAACCAGCCTAAATGTTTCAAAACTGCCAAGGTCAAGAAAAACCAGAGAAAGGCTGGGGAACTATTCTAGATGAAAGAAACCCAAGAAATAAATTCCCTGCATGCTCTTGTCCAGAACTAGGAGAACAAAGTAGCTATATAAAGCACATACTGGAACAATGAAAGAAATCTATATATTATGTGGATTAAAACAATACTGTCAACATCAAATGTCTTGATTTTGATAATTGTATTGTAGTTTTATAAGAGACTGTCCTTGTTCTTAGGAAATATACACTGAATTACTAAAAGGTAAAGGTAAAAAAATAGATATATAAATACAAAGTGAATTAGCAAGTAGAACAAAATGTTAACAATTGGTCAATCTGGGTAAAGAGTATACAGAAGTTCTTTGTTTTATTTTTTGTAATTATTCTCCAAATTAAAAAAAAATGTTTCAAAAAAAATAAATAACTGGAGTTTAAAGGATGGATTTATAAGGCGAACAGTAGTGTGTGAAAGTACACAGGAAAAGAGCTCAGAATCAGAAACTTAGTTGTCCAGATTCTTCTAAGACTATGTATGTAGAAATAACATATAAATCGTAATTTCTCAGTCTTTCTGTGATATAAAAAAGGCGGTTGTACTACAATTTTTACATGTAAATGTTTGTAAGCTTGCTCTATCAGTTCATGCGTTATTCTACCATTTCATTACTTGGTTTTCTCCAGACTGAATACTTTTTTAACTAAAAAGAAAAAACTGTGCAAACCTCTTATGTGCAAAGAAACCATTATCATAGATGAGGACCAGAGTTTCAGAGAATTTTCTTAATAAGGTCTAACATGATAGAACTAAAAACACATCACATAAACTTTAGGAATAAACTCAATGATTTCTCGATACCTTTTATCAATTTTGTTTAATATTATCATCTATTAAATGTAAAATTATTGAGTTTATTTTCTCTAAAACAAATTACCATTAAGTACAGAGCCTTATAAATCCATTTTCTACACATAACCTTATAATGCTTTCCTACTTAACTTCAAATATTAAAGTATTCACAAAGAGGAAACAAAAGAAGCTAATAGTTCAAAACAATCTACTATGTTGCAAGCATTATGCTTAGAAACTATGTGGCCAATTCACATAACAACCTGCTTCCGTATAAATTACTCCCATTTTGCAAACAAAGAAACTACAGTTAAGCAAAGATGACTAAGACATAGTCCCAGCCATCATAGGAGCCATCTAAAGATAGATTAAAAAATAGAAGTGTACCCCTGGAATGCGACAGAAAATATTATGCACAGAAGCAGTCTGGGCAAACTGAAGACTTTATCTCATTGTTTTGAATGATATATAGCTGCTATGGTCTGAATGTTTGTGTTCCCCCAAAATTCAAATGTTGAAATCCTCACTCCCTAGATGATGGTATTAGGAGGTGGGGCTTCTGAGAAACGATCAGGTCATGAGGGCAGCGCCCTCAGGAATGAGCCTTACAAAAGAGGTTCCAGAGAGCTCCCTTGCCCCTTCCACCATGTGAGGACACAGTGAGAAGTCACTCGCTATGCACCTACAAGGTCTCACCAGAACTTGACCATGCTGGTGCCTTGATCTTGGACTTCCCAGCCTCCACAATTGTGAGAAATAAAGTTCTATTGTTCATAAACTACCCAATCTGTGTTATTTTGTTATAGAAGCCCAAAAGGACTAAAACAATAGTCTTCAATACTGGCAAACCTTAAGATTATATGTCTATCCATCAATAACTATGAATCTATCTAATCATTATAAAACTGCCAAATACTAGTTAAGGCAAGCATGAATGCCTGAACGTTCTCACTACTACTTTGTCATTAAGAAAAAGAGCTATTTATCACTGCATTGCCATTTAAAAATTTAATTTCTCTTTTAAAAAAATTCTCCTAAATTCCACAGCACTTTTTAGATCTTTTTTTTTTAGCTGAGCCATCCTGCCACCTGTTGGCAGCTCAGCGGCTGCTCAACTCTGGCTGGGACTCGAACCGCTGTTTTGCTCAGAGCTCGCACTCTTGAGCGAGCTCTTGACCAACTGAGCTACTCGGCCAGCCCTCCACAGCAATTTTTAAAAGTAAAAAAAATTTAAATCTAGCTTTGAGACAAAATTTTCTCAATCATACTTTTGAATGGTGAGCAAATTTAAGATGAATTTGTGGATGAATCTTTAAATCACAGAGATCATAAAATAATTAAATAACATTCTGGCTGCACAGAGAAAACAAAATCTATTATGTGAATATGGAAAACAAAAAAAGGAAGATTTTTTTAATTTCTAAAGTAGATAGGACATTTGCAAACTCAGACCAAAATTGTATGTTAAGTGTATCTTCGTGGAAAGAAATTAGATAACATAAGTAGTAGCATTTCATAATCAGAGTACTAAAGGCTAAAGCAGACATCAGAGAAAAAAACATATTTGGTTCATTTTAAGTCCCTGTCATAGCTGCTTTTTTTAAAGTAGATAAACTGAAGCTTATAGTTCAAAAGTGTGTCTGCAGCCTCAGCATAGCATCTTCTCAGGCAGCTGCAATGCACCATGGCTTTATGTCAACTTGTGGGGAAGGACCCTGTTTTCTCTGTTGGGACCTGGGATGCCTTGGGTGGGAGACAGGCAAGGGAGCCAGACTAGGTTTGTCCACCTTCAGTCTGGCAGCCAAAAGCCCCAACTCTCTGCCTGTCCCTGCAGACTCTGCAGACCCAAAGTAAGAACAGAGTTTCAAAAAATACAAAATAAACACTAGATCACATATAAGGTTTATTTACATATAATTCAAATTTTTCAAAATAATCACCTGAATCCTCCTGGGCTTCACGAGTTTCACCATCATCTGTTACTTCCAATTCTTTCACAAAATTTGAGGGAAACAGTCCCGACTTGTTGTTCAGGGTTCCACTCCACCAGCCTTCTTCTACCTGAAAGAGTTCACAACTCAAAAATAAAAAAATGTCTCTTAACTGAAAATCTTCCCTCCATGGGGAAATTAAACTACAGAAGTGCATAAGCACAAAGTTACTAGCCCAAAATAACCCCTTAAATTTATAAGAAAGCACAATGGGAAAAAATATATATTTAAGTAGATTAAATCTAAGTGGATTAGATTAATCAAAAGGGGTTAGTCCTATCCTATCAACAGCACTTTTTGACACTTACAATGAGAACTTGTAATCAATTGTAGTCTGTAAATAATTTTCATGAAAGTATCAGATAACCAAGAATAATGTATTAACAGCAAGAAGCAGACAGCTCTCTTCCAGAATGTCACTCTTTTAAAAACTACTGAGCCTCAGTTTGTAATTATGACATATATTATTATTTGTAAATTTTTTATTTGGAATAAGTTTGATGAGTATAACAACTTTCTAAATGGCACATAAAATTACTAAGCCTTTTATTTGAACAGTGAGTGTGAACCCAGACATGATCAAGAATCACTCATTTTTAAAAATCCAGATGCCAGGCTCTACTAAACACTCCCGCAACCCCAACCAGAAATACCCTCAGAAACCAAACTCTTTAGAAAAATATTTGCATTTACCAATAACAAGATTACTAAATTTTCATGAAGGCACTTTAAGAATATTTAATAACTGTCTTAAAATGTAGAGTTTCAACTAAGGATGTTAAGAGGTATTCATAGGTAAAACAATTTTTTAAAGAACAAACTATTCATTGTCAAAAATCACTCTACACATGCAATATCATAGCAGGAAAAAGCTATTTTTTTCTGTTTAAAATATACTTTAAAAAATTTTTTCACCTCATCATAATGACAAATTTTAGTAAGTTATTCATCCAATAGGCACTCATTATGCACAAGCCTAATGTTACTGCTAGGGAAAGTTTCAAATTTGAATATGAGAAATTTGTGTCTTTCAATAAAACAATCTAAATAAAAAAACAAAAACAATAAGCAGAAAATTACAATACAGTGTAAGAGGTGTTACAACTAAAGTATGAGCAAAATGCTGTAGGAGCCCAAAGGAAGGGCTTAGAAGAGCTTAAAAAGAATCAAAAAAGCCTCCTTTAAAAAGGGAAATGACAAAAAGAGCAGGATATTAAAGGCTGAGTAAGGATTTTCCAGGTACAAAGCATGTGAAAAATACGGTGACATAAAAATAAAGAACTTAATTCATGCTATATACAGAGGGTGCCAAAAAAAATGTATACACATGTTAAGAAAGGAAAAAAATGCATTAAGATTGTAATACTCTATACCAATAACAAAAGATGAATACAAGTCATGCATATACATTTTTTTGGCACGCCTGGTATACAGCTGAAATACGAGATGGCTAGAAGACAAGCTGTTTGAGGGGAAAATGGAAGGTAATAAGCGTGAAAAGTTCAGAATTTTTAGCAGACTTGAGGCACCAAAGGCTTACGAGTTCTTCAAACTAGTGTGGTGGAGATATGGAGGCCAAACTGAAACAAGCATAACAGAGAGAAACGTCAGCAAACTATTATCTACACCTGGAATCCCAAATTGGCAGAAATTGGCTATTAGGGTAAATAACCCTATAATTCCTATTAAGTAATTTTAAGAGGCAGAGAAGTAGAGTGGTAAAGAATGCTGACTCAAAAACAGACCGAGGATTCTGGCTCCTCTGTAAGCCAGGCATGTGAACTGGGGCAAAGATGGCCAAAACAAGATCTCCTAAACCATATGCTCATCTACAGTGTAATCTTGACACTCTTCCCACCAAGAAATGGTAGTCTGTGTCCCCACCCCCTTTGATCTTGCTGGCTTATGACTTTCTTGTAACCAAGCGCATGTGGTGAAAAGTGACACTATCGCTTCTAAGGTTAGATTATAAAAGGCTACTACCTCCATGTTTGCTAAAATGCTTGCACTTAAGAGACCTAAACTGCCATACAATAAATAACTATCCTTTATTGTATGGCAGTTTAGGTCTCTTAAGAAAGCCAAAGCAAATGGCGAAACTAGGGAATGGCTCTCCACAGGCAATCCTAGTTTTCAAGTCTTCTAAGCACGAGACATGTCAGTGAAGGAGCCTTCCCGTGACTCCACCAGGACCCAGCCTTGAAACTTGCCAGCTGAGGCCCCAGATATTATAGAACAGAGACAAGTCATGCCCGCTGTGCTCTATCTGAACTCTTGAGCCACACAGCCATCAACCTAATAAAACAGTTCTTTGCCACAGAGTTTGGGATGGCATGTTACGCAACAGTAATTGGAACAGCCAACCACTTACCTTCTGTGATTCAATCTCCTCATATGAAAAATTAGGATAAAAATTACTATGTCTGGGTTGTTTAGAAATTTAAAGGAAATAATAAATGTGCAACACTTGGCACAGTTTTTCAGACATAACACAGGCTCAATAAACATTAACTATTAATTACTATTGCTACCTGGTAGAAATAAAACAGAATCACCTTTTATATAAGCACATTGGAATTTAACATAAACTTAAGAGATAAATTACATTACATGATGTTATGACACCAATCAATCCCTGTGACAATATATGGCATCAAAACATATACTCTGAAAATGAGATCTTCAGCTGACAAATAAATCTTTAATACTCCTTTAATGGTAAAAGCAGAGATATGAAAAGTATTTTTTAAATGTTTTTAAATCTCACTCTAAGACATTAAAATGTGGGAAAAATGTTTTTGGTTAATATTTGAATGTGATGATTCAAAACCTGCAAAGCTTTTTAAAGATTCTGTTTTTGTATTCCTTTGATACATAAAAGGTAAAATTCCTTCTATTGTATTTTACTGCACTGTGCCTAAAGTAATGTCAGACTCAAATGAAAGGATTCCTTATATCTTTAGTTACTAAGACTACATTTATTTTTATCCTAACCAAGTTTTTCTTCTTCCTAAAGCCAACAGACACAAATACAGTACACAAATATTAAGGTATACAAATACAGTATACCAAGGATAAGTTGTTTTAGTTCTACAGATTAAGACAATCTGATACTAATTCATGAAAGATCCATTTTAAAGTCTATATCCTAAAATTTTTATAAAAAATAAAACTTGCAAAAAAAATTTTAACAAAGAAATTAATATTCTTACAAAGCATTCTTCTAATACCCAGAGCATCAATTCTAATTTATCTCTAACACATTTCCCTTACCTCTTCACTAATGTCAATAATATCTCCTATTCTCAGCTCCAGTTCATCCTCATTTTGTGGAACGTACTCAAAGAGAACTTTACACTGACGCTTCTTGGTCTCTAAAGGAATGAAGGAACATAAAAAATTTGGTTAAGAAAGATCATTAAAACAAACTATTTATGATTTACTTACAAAACAAACAAATTATTTACATACTATGTTTATTGCCACAGGATTTATATGTATGAATAAAAACATAACATCTAAGCAGCTAACCACAATCAGATCTGGCTGGCTTTACACCTTGCCCTCACACCCCAATCTACAAATCCCCAAATAAATTCAAACCAACCACAAATAAGATATAAGTCTCCAGGGAATGAAATCTATACATCAACTCCCACCAATTACACAAAAGTAAACTATCCGCTGCCAATTTTGACACTAGAAATAGACAATAAAAGACACTGTTGGCATAAGAAATTTATCACAGACAATTCCTCAAAGCCAATGAGTTTCAGACTACATTCTGATCAAAATCTAAAAATCCTTAAAATGCACTCATTTAAGAGTACCTGTTAGGGGGCCGGCCAAGTGGCGTGGGCCGGCATAGTGGCGCGATGGTTAAGAACAAGCTTGGGACGCCAGAGGACTCCGGTTCGGATCCCACATATGAGGGCCAGTGACACTGCCCTCCACAGCTAAGATGCTGAACAACAGCTCAACCTGGAGCTGGGCTGCTGTGAGT